TTCATATTTATCATGAAAAACCCATTTGTCTATCCTGGAGTGCTTTCATAGCAAAATTTGTTGAGGACATAGCACCAACACAGATACTGCAATGCTTACAGTCCAAAAATGCCCTTATCTGTTTTCTGATTATTGTAAAATCTCTCTATATATTTCTTTTTATGATTTCATATATGCCAGGTGCAACGAAACAAAAAAATTGTGGTTTCATCACCAAAATAAAGATTTATTTAAAAAAAAAAAAAGAGAAATTGCAATAGTGTTCTTAATATACTTATGTCACTGTGTATCTCTAAATTTTCAACATGCAAAACCAACTGTCCCAAACATATTAAGCTTTTAATTTACAGTCCTGCAAGTGAAAACAGGTTGGTAAAGGCTAGGAACAGATGGGAAGTAGACTGAAAGTCTGACTTTTCAATCAATGCAGCTGAGTCGCAGAGCGAGACCAAACCGAATTACGTTCTAAATGATACATAATTCAATGCCCAGAAGCCCAAGTAAATGTCATCAGTGATTGATTATATCTTTTCAATAGGCAAATGCCTAAACAAGAATACACAGTACTTTATTATTCTGGGAACAAATTTGGATCACAATATCATATCATGAATCAAAGGGTCAACCAATAACAAATCCCAATTGTCAAAAAGGTAATGATACATTCGCTTTTATATATAGTAATCACAAATTACAAGTCATTGTCATTGACGTAAGTTGACATTGTTTGCAGTAACCTACTTTATTTTATTACATTATACAAATTTATTGAGCATAATTAAATGTAATCCGATGACACTCCCTGATTAGCATCAAACCGCCACATTGGAGCCCGTGGTTATTATGTACAGCGAGCACTTCTTGGATGAAGATCTAACTGTAGAGCAATCACCATGGGCATCAACCTAATGTTCCTGCTGTTTGCTCCAGTTCTAGAATGTTGGAATAGGATTTACCTTCATAGAAAAAATTTGACAAAGACATCTTTGTGGATTAGTCTTCAGTTTACAAGGTCATCTTAACTCCAATATAGAGATTATCCTCCTTGTTTAAAGTTTATGGATTTGGGAGTTTCTTGTAACCCAGAATACAAATCATTACCATTATTATTTACTGTATAATGTGCTTTTATAGTTAGCAGTCTAAAGTCAACATGTGCAGAAAACTATATGAAGCAGCAAAAAATAATTACCCTGAAACAGAAAGGGAACAGACAGGTACACATAAGAGCTTGCAATTAAAGGAAGCGTAGGAAATTAAAACGGAGAATGTTTTGAGAACACTGCTGCAAGGGAATGGAAAGTTTTAGGTAATAAAGTTGGTCATATATGTACTATACTGTGATTTTTTTTTAATACCAAGTATGAGTTATTTTTCTGCAATGCACTGTTTTTCTATATTGTTTTGATTTTCTTTTACTGACATTTTTTTATGTTTTTTTTGTACATTTAATTGACCTAGAAGCTTGAGACTTGAAGGTGAGCAAAATATTAAACTGCGGCTCACTTTCGAACCTTGATGTAACAATATGCATTTTGTATATGTAAATATTTATGTATATAATATACTTTCATAGCAATAAAACTCACAGTAATGTGTAGTGTGTATGAGTATGTAACAAAGCTGCTCAGCTATAAAACACATAACAGTGTAAGCGTCTGTGATATTATCACTGAGCTACATAACAATAAAACTCACTGTAATGTGTAGTGTGTGGGTATATCACAGACCTTCAGAGCAATAAAACTCATAGTAATGTGTAGTGTGTGTGAGTATGTAACAAAGCTGCTCAGCTATAAAGCTCATAGCAATGTAAGCGTTCATGAGATTAGCACTGAGCTACATAGCTATTAAACTCACAATAACGTGCATTTTGTGTAAGGGGATCCCAGTGCTCAGTAGTAGAAAAAGTCTCAGTTAGGTCAGTTTGACAAACAGTAAAGACATAAATCTATAAATGAATATAGGTAGATAAATCACTTTTGCTATCAACAACTCAGAAAACCATCTCAGCAATGTTTTACATCTGACTCTTCCTCCAGGCAACTCCACAACACAAAGTTGTTCTTTTTAGCCATGTAAAATATTTGTACTAATTAAGTGATGCTGAATAAATCCACCGTCCATCAGATAAAATGAAGACAGCTTTAGTGGAGTGTGGAGCCACTAATTAGCATTTAGAACGTAAGAGATATATTTAAGAAATGACAGTTACCCTGGAAGGCCAAAGGCTATTCTGAAGAGGTAGGTTTCAATGGACTTCTTAAAGGATTGAAGATTAGGGAAGAATCTGGTGGGAGTAGGCCAGCCGTTTTTATAGGAATGGGCAGTGGCAGGTCAAAGTAGAGCGACAGAGAAGGGATGTATCTATGAATTAGTCAAGAAAGGTAAGGGGGGGAAGATTTGTTGAAAGTTTTGTAGTTAAGAGTTATTTTGACTTGAATCCTATAGGGCAGGGGTAGGTAGTCCACAACATCTGAAGTGCCAAATGTTGCTTCTCCCTGCTATATGATATAGGAAACCATTGTAACCATTGACAGATGGAGATATAAGTATTGGTAAGATGTGTCAGAAGAGTAACATGAGAGAAAAACTAGCCTTTTGAGAGACTAACAGAAATACAGTATTTAAAATGAGAAACTACAAGAATATCCCATCTTTGCTTAACTCTGTAATCTAAGATTTTGAAATGGGACAAGTTAAGTTATATAAATGTATATAATTCCCAAAAGTGTTTTATCCCCTTTGAATATTTATTTGGAATGAACAGTGGTTGGATTTGCAAAATGCATTTGGAGGTCTTAATCTTGCTCAGCACAAGGTTCTGCAGCAATTAAAGTTAATGCAAACAAAGCTCTGGGGCCTCACGGTATTCACCCACAAGTACTTAAGGAGCTAACTGTGGAAACAAGTGAACCTCTGTTTTTAATCTCTCATGATTTCTTTCTTTCAGTAATTGTACCGGAGGATAGGAGGAAAAGGGTTCAAAATCTTTGTCTGGAAATTATAGACCTGTATGCTTAACGTTTGTGGCTTGGAAAGTATTTGAAGGGTTATTAAGGGATAATATTCAGGAATTCATTGAGAAGAACATTGTTATTAGCAAAAATCAGCATGGTTTTATGAAACATAGGTAATGTCAAACTAACTTAATTGTATTCTACAAATAAGTAAGTAGAAGTATGGATCAGGGTGTTGCAGTGGATGTGATCTACATGAATTTTGCCAAGGGATTTGAAAGAGTTCCACACAATAGGTTAGTATTAAAGCTAAAAGAAATTGGTTTTGATGAAAACATTTTTTGGAGGGTAGAACATTGGCTTAAAAACTGTTATCCGGCGCTGGATTAAGGTAAGCTGCTGAAGGGGCACCCTCAGGGCACTTTAGTGTCAGGAAAACCGCTTTGTTTTCCTGACACTAGAGTGATCCTTTAATTTAGATAGATTGGGGGACTGGGCACTCAAATGGATGATGCAATTTGATGTAAATAAATGCAAAGTTATGCAGTTTGGGGTAAAGAATGAACTAGCAACTTACATCCTAAACGGTAGTGTAGTAGCGATAACAACACACAAGAAGGATTTGAGAATTGTTATAGACAATAAACTAGGCAACAATATAGAATGCCAATCAGCAGTTGCTAAGGCCAGTAGGGTATTGTCAGTAGAATCATTTTGCCTCTTTATAAATCAATGATAAGACCACATTTTGAATATGCTGTGCAATTTTGGGCGCCTGTTCTAAAGAAGGATATGATGGCACTAGAAAAAGTGCAGAGGCGGACTACAAAATTAAAAAAGGTGATTGACATGAAGAAAGGTTTAGTTATGAAGAAAGGTTAACAAATGTAAATCTGGTTAGTTTAGAAAAACTGCACCTCAGAGGTGATATAATTATGTATAGCATTATACAAATTTATTCTGGGTCACTACAAACCGTTGTCTGGAAATGCCATATGCTTTAAGTGTACTGACTCACTAGCTGATCTCTTACCTCTAGGGTTACCCGAAAATCAAATCGTTTTCAGAAGTCTTCCACTATGTTCCACCGGAGTTTGCCATACTTGGACTAATATTGCCTAGTTCACTAGCTAACAAAAACAAAATTTGATATTGCTGGAGGGAGGGCAAATCAAGGACATTTTGCTGCCTTGTTCAATCAACAAAATGCTGGCCCTACCTCAAACACCAATGTACATAATTTTTTAAATATAACTAATTTACACAAAAAGATAAATGATTATACACACTCATATAGTGACTACTCAGAGACATTCACAGACAGAACGCACATGTCTCATCTAGTCTATGCCTTATTTGGGTTCTTTCCTTTTTCTCCTTCTGTTCTGAATTTTCTTTTTGTTTATCATTTTCAGTATCATTAATGGATAGTGTGCATTATTTTAATATACTTTGTTTTAGGTTCAGATCAGCATAGATATGACCTTTCCCCCCTTCCTATGGAGTATGTATAGGCAGGTTTCAGAACAACATGGATTTACACATTTTTTATATATATTTTTTTTTTTTTAAAGGTTTTTATTGAGGTTCTGTGCATTCACAATAGAATAACGGCAAAGAAAAGTCTGAAGTACATAACAAAACAGTGATAATGTATGGTAATACAATGAGTAGCATTCAAATTGCATCTCAATACAGTGTTGCATCCGAAAGGCGTGTTTTGCATATTCTCGAACTTTTTATGGCCTAGGGTTTAGCTTTGATCAGGACGCTGGCGTCACAGGTACACCTCATTGGTTGTGTCTTGTAAGTTGGGTAAAGAATGATATCAGGAGGTGCTTTAACTGCCCTACCATTTTCCCTTGTGTCTGAAGGAGGGGAGGGGGGGAGTGGAGGTGTGGGGGAGGGGGGTGGTATTTGCTGTACCTGGTAGTTGGGGGGTTGAGGTCTAGTTACATCGATAGATCATCAGTTATATTGCGCTGTTTTTTAGATAGTCACACCAGGGTTGCCAAACAGATTTGTAGTGGAGGAATGTGCCTGCTATGGAGTGACAAGTCTCCTCCAGGCCTCTCAATGTTTCGACTTTTTGTATCCATTCCCGAATGGAGGGGGCATTGGGGTGTTTCCACAGCGCTGGTATGAGTTGGTTCGCTGCTGATATTAGGGGAAGTAGGAGGTCTGTTGTCAGTTTAGGTATATTCCGGGGGATTAGAAAGATGAAGAGCTCAGGGGTGAATGGGATGAGGGTGTTCAGAGCTGATTGTAATATTCCATGGATGCGTCTCCAATAGCGGTTGATTACCTGGCAATTCCACCAGATATGTGCTGTGTTGCCTTCAGGCGTATGGCATCTCTAGCAGTGGGGTGAGTGGGAGGGAAAGAGGGCTTTCAGCCTTGTCGGGGTATAGTGCCATCTCGCTATTCTTTTATAGTTACTCTCTTGGATTGTGGTGTTTCTGGCTGATCTGTGAATTTGTTTAAAGATATTACGCCATGTTTCAGGTGTGATTGAGATGTTTAGTTCTTTTTTCCATGACAGAGTGAACACCGGTGGGTGGTGGGATTGTGTCTTTGCAATTGTTGTGTACATCATTGAGATGAGTTTTTTCTTCACGGTATGGGTTTTGCATATTAGCTCAAATTGGGTATGCGTGCGGAACGTGTCTTGGGCTAGCGGACCAGTGCGTATAAAATGGGTGAGCTGGTGGTATTGGAGAGATTGTATCGCATTCTGCCTATCCGTGATGGCATGTAGGGGTTTGATTTGGTGGTTTGTGTCGTCAATGATGGTTTCTAGTGAGAGATAGGCTGAATCATGGTAATGCTTGAATGCTTTACCATCTACTCCCGGTTGAAATAAGGGGTTGAGGGTGAGTGGGTAAAGCGGTGAGGGGTACGGGGATATCGTTTGATGTGTTCTCAGTTTCGCCCACATGCGTAAGGTTGGTGAAATGGTAGGATGAGGTGCATGTAGCAGGAATGACTGCCCGGATTTGTGCCATGGTATTGTGTATATGGGTGCTCTGAGGAAGGAGTCCTCTACATTAATCCATTGTGTAGCAGAGTGTGGTTGTGTCCAGTCATATAGTCTAGTCAGGAGAATAGCTTGGTGATATCTCTCTATGTCAGGGAGGCCCAGACCTCCTTCATCTTTTGATCTCGTGAGGAGTGAGTATGCGAGCCGAGGGCTTTTGTGCGCCCAGATGTATGTTGTGAGTGTCTTTCTAACCTGTGCAAACCATGACTTTGGCAGCATGATTGGCAGTACCTGCAGGACATACAGTAGTCTCGGGAGGACATTCATTTTTAGGATGTTCAGCCTGCAAAACCAACCAAATTGTGGCTTGTTCCAGGCTTGGAGGTCCAAGGTTATACCCTTCAGCAAGTCCGGGAAGTTGCTCCCGAACAGGTGGGATGCCTCCTTAGTTAAGTGGATTCCTAGGTATTTTATACTGCTGGGAGCCCAAATAAATGGGTGGTCGTGTTGTAGAGTGGCCTTGTCCTGAGGGGTAACGTGTAGTGACAATATCTCACATTTACTGAGATTCGCCTTGAAATTGGAAATCTTGCTGTACGTATCCATTTCGGCCATTAAGTGGGGTATGGATGCTATGGGATCTGAGATTGTGAAGAGCATGTCGTCTGCGAACGCTGCAATCTTATGCTCTGTCTTGCCTACCTTGATGCCTTTGATAAGAGTATTATCCCTGACGCCCTGAAGGAAGGGTTCTAGGACCATGACGAACAGTAGGGGTGATAGGGGGCATCCCTGCCTAGTGCCATTTGTTATTTTTACTGGTTCTGATAGTTGACCGTTTACGCGAATATTCGCCGTGGGTTGTGAGTATATCGCGTTAAACCATTTTAGCCAGTTTGGGCCAAATCCCAGGTGTTGCATGGTGTGAGATAACAGGGTCCAGTCTACCCTGTCAAACGCTTTTTCCGCATCAATGGACAGGAGTAGACTGGGACATTTCTCTCTCGTGGCTTTGTGTATGAGATTTAATAGTTTTGTGGTGTTGTGTTTGGCCTCTCTACTTGGGATGAAACCCGACTAGTCAGCGTGTATCAGTCCTGGTAGTACTGGGCGAAGTCTATTAGCTAGGATTTTTGTGAACAACTTCAGGTCTATGTTTATTAGTGAGATCGGTCTGTAGCTGCCGCATTGGGTCGGGTCTTTTCCGGGCTTGGAGAAGAAGTGTGATCGTTGCATTTAAGGCTTGTGGGGGCAGGGTGGCTGTGTTAAGTAGTGCGTTGAAAGAGTTCTGAAAGTGAGGTACTAGTAAGGAAGTGAATGTTTTGTAGTATTTGGCTGTCAGCCCGTCGGGGCCTGGGCTTTTCCCTAAAGGTAGGTGTTTTATCGCTTGTAGACATTCGTCTTGAGAAATGGGCTGTTCTAGCGAGTCTCGTATATTATGTGGCAGGGTGTCGTGTATCCTGGGGGCAAGAAATTCATGAATGTCTGCTATTTCTGGGGGGGTCTGTCTCAGATTATATAGAGAGGAGTAGAATTCTTTAAATTCTGTGAGAATGTCTGTCATTGAGTGTGATAGTGTTCCCTCTTTGTTTCGGATGGCTGCAATAAATGTGTGTTCCCTTTGCTTCTTCAAGGCGTGGGCCAGGAGGCGTCCACATTTACCCCCCTGTGCATAATATGTGCTTCTCGTTTTGGCTAGGGCGCGTTTGGTGCTGACGTTAAGGATCATGTTGAGCTCAGTCCTTTTCTCCACCAGTACCTTGTAGGTAGCAAGATTGAGGTCGTTTTTATTTGTCTCCTCCAAATTCCTGATTTCCTTGGTGAGACTGAGTGTGCGGGATTCCCTTTGTTTCTTGAGTCTAGCTGCTGCCTGTATGAATGTACCTCTGATTGTGCTCTTATGTGCTTCCCATATCATGGGGAAAGTGGAGTCTGGGTGTGTGTTGAGCTCAAAGTAGTGTCCTAGAGATTCCTCTATTATGTTTCGTACGTCGGGAAGATTGAGTAGAGTGTCGTTCAGTTTCCATTGCGTTCTAGTGGGGTGGAGGGAGGGGATCGTGACGGTGAGAGAGATGGGCGCATGATCCGACCATGTAATTGGGCTATACTGGCATGAGCTAACCAAGTTCAGGAATCTATGTGGCATGAGAAGTAGATCTATCCGAGAGTATGAGCCTGAGGAGCATGAATAGTATGAGTATTCTCGTTCGGTCGGGTGTGAGACTCGCCAACAATCAAAGAGTTGATAGGAGTCTAGCAGTTTTTGGATAAGGGCACGAGTTAAAGTTTGGTAGGTCTGGGCCAGGGAGGTAGTGTCTAGTGCTCCATCTAATGAGGTATTGAAGTCGCCCCCTAGAATTAGCATGCCCTCGGTGAAGGTCTCTAGTTTCTTGAGTATTTTGCGCAGGGCCTGGAATTGTTTTTGGTTGGGGAGGTAAACATTGGCCAGTGTTATTGGAGTTGATCCCATTAGGCCTTTCAGAAATATATACCTTCCATTATCATCTGACATATGTTCTTTGTATGTAAATGGTAGGTGTGATGACAGGAGTATTGCTACTCCCCGGGACTTGGAGTCTGTGTAGTTGCTAAAATATCCTTTGGTATAGTGTCTAGATTTAAGAGAGGGGGCAGAGTTTTTACGAAAGTGGGTCTCTTGTATAAATACTACTTCTGCTTTGTGTCTGTGGTAGTCTGTGAGAGCCATGTGGCGTTTTTCAGGGACATTCAGTCCCCTAGCATTGTGGGAGAGTACTGATATTGTTGCCATAGCGAAAGGTTTGGGGATATTGGGGGTGGGAGGAAGGGTACTGGAGACGTGTGAATGGTCACTGTATGTGGGATGCCGACCTAGGTGGGTGGGCTTTTTCTATGGTGAACACAGCGGTGTATTTCATTTTGTTTGCGAGTTTACAGCCAAATACCATAGGTAAGAGGATGCTACCGCAACAGGTGGTGTTGGCATACAAATTAAACGTTAACAAAATATTAACAGAACTATATACAATAAATCGTATCAGTCTATAAGTCCCAAGATTAGAGTAGAGTACGTAAATAACGATTGCTAAGTGGTACTTATCAGAACAACTGGGGTCTGCCCCTGAGAGGTCCCGTAGTCTACAGAGGGCTACTTGCAAGTGACCCCGTTGGGGGAGGGTCGTGGGTGGTGTGTCAATGTATATCCAATACTTTTTTTTTTTTTTTTATTTGTTTTTAGTATGACGTTTATTTTGAGTATTTTTGAACTCGTCAGTTGGAGCTACTGTTGTCACTTTACTGCAATAGAAAAGGTCAGTAGGGTACACGGTGTGCAACCGCATGTAGTCTTATGGTTGCTTCGTGGAGGTAAATCTGGGGGTAAGTCGATTGAGGACAGGGTACGAAAAGGGACAAAACTGTGGGTAGATCTAAGGTTTGTGGGTTAGTCTAGGACGTGGGTGGAGGGGAGAGATGTATTTTTTTTTTTTTTTCTCTCCTCCTCTCGTCGCCCGACCGTCCTCCACTTGTCCCTTCCGTTTAGTCGTGTCGGGACTAGTTGTCTCCTTCTCCTTATGTCTACACATTTAGCGTCTGTTTTCAGACTTGGTTGGCTATTCCTTTGGCGTGATTTTGTCAAGGTCTGTCATTTCTGCCAGCCTGCCTGTCACCACGGGAAGTATGTGGGTATCCCCCAGGGTGGGGGTGGTAATGAGGTCAGCTACGTTCTAGCGAAGTCGTGATTGTATGTCGCCCCCGGTATCGTAGGGTTATGTCACTGTCACAGTTACAATTACAATTAAGTGAATGCATATCACACATACGACCTCAGGTTGACCTGTGTTCTCGTATGGGCCCTGGGGCCGAGTCCTGGTTATTGATAGTGCGGAGTCGTACTTCCAAGCCAGACGGGTAGTCCGGTCTGAGTGGTTAGACCAGTGTCAGTGTGTAGATTGTGGATCGGTGGAGAAGGGTATCAAGAGAGTCTGTCTGGTATATAGTGGGTTCGGTCCTCTATTGTCCTGTGACGTTATTCCGTCCTCTGTCCTCCTGCGATGACTGTCCAGCCTGTGGCACTCTCTGCTGCTTTGCCGGGGATCGCCAACGTGGTCTTTGCTGCGCTGCTGGTGCGGTCAGTGCTGGGTCCGGTGCGTACCAATCCAGGATGTTCGATTCATTCAGCTTCAGTGCTTTAGTGAAGGGGAGAATGTCTTGGTGCGTGGATATCGTAAACGTGGTTCCGCGGGTATTGACGATGAGAGCAAAGGGATAACCCCACCTGTATCTCAGATTGCGCATGCGGAGTTGATCCGTTATGGGCCGCAGGGCCCTTCTTGCTTGTAAGGTGTGCCAGGAGAGATCCTGGTAGATCTGTATCTCATGTCCCTGGAACAGGAGGG